AGAAAGAAAGAAAGAAAGAAAGAAAGAAAGAAAGAAAGAAAGAAAGAAAGAAAGAAAAAGAAGAAAGAAAATCACATAGCATAAAAAATCAGATGCCTACTTGTTTCACAGGCCATCGGCCAACTTGAGCACAATCCTCTTCCTGTCCTAAATGTGTATATTGTTCATTTGTGTACTGTGAAGATTTTGATTGAAGCACTTGTTTCAGTCATAGGAAAGCTATAAAATTTTATGTATTTTCCATCCATAAATCACTTGCCACCACAAGCTTGCTTTCTGTTATGGCTTGTGTATATTTGTCCCCCCTCTCCCCAAAGCCTCATTCAGTCTTTGGGTGGCTTCTGGAGTTTGTGACTGATTATTGTGGGTGTGGATGCTGCACCTGCCCTTGGGCAGGTAATTTGCATTTCAGTGTAAGGAGGAAAGAGAAGCTAGCTGCCTGAGCTGCTGCTACTCCTCTTTTTTTGCTCTTGCTATTTGCTGCTGCTTTCTGTCATGTGCCTTGGAGCCAGCTGAACATGGACTGAAACCTCCAGTAACTGTGAGCTAAATAAACCTTTCCTTCCTTCATTTTGAGTGTCGGGCATTTATCCCAGCAATGAGAGAAGAATAAATAAAACATTTTCAAATATGCAGACTTAATGTATCTGGTATAGATGGTGATAGATAGACAGACAAATATAAAAAGAGATATAAAGCCTTTCTTCCCTCTAAACATTTATTAGTACGTGTGTAAAAGTTGATGTTAAACTCAAACTGAGAAGAGTTGAAATTTTCCAAAGTATATCACAAGAGTTAACTTTAAAATAGTTGCAATAAATAGATATTTAGTATATCAGCTTATTAATTAATTTTAGCTTTTCATTAAAAGATAAACTTGTTAAAAGTCTATCATAAATTTATGACACTCTCCAAAATAAGATGACAACTTATGTCTTTCTGTTGGACTTAATAAATGTTCAAAGTTGCATATAAGCAAATACTACTATGTACATAGAGAATTATGAAGATTAACATAGGCTGAAGAGTCACTAACTTTCATTAATTTGCAAGTGACCTTTTGGAATACCTCTTTTTAATTGTGTAGCATAGCCTTACATTGTTCATTATAGATCAAAAATTGTACATCTTTGAGCTTTCCAAAGTTGGCATAAGTGCCCAAACAAAAGTTTACAATTTGTACAAAGTACTGCAGTCAGCAGCACCAGTGAAAGCACATTGACAGGACAATGAGTTATTAAAATGATCATCTTAAAATTTAACCAACGATCACAGCAAACCTTGCCTGTGTGATGTACAGATGGAACTGCTCTGATAGAGCCATTTATGAACAACCTATTACCAGGATCATATTAAATGAGAAAAAGAAGAAAACCTTCCCGTCGAGATCGGGAATAAGACAAGGATGTCCATTATCACCACTTCAACTCAACATATTCATCAGAATATGAGTCAGAGCAATCAATCAAACGAAAGGATAAAAGGCTACCTACAGGAAAGAAAAAAGACAAAGTATCACTGTTTGCAGATGACATGATCTTGTACTTATAATTCCCAAAAGACTTCCATGAGACTCCTATAAACTAATAATGAATTTATTAAAAACTAAATTAAGAAAATACCATTCGTGATAGCATCAAAAAATTAAATGCATTGGAATTAACAAAGGATATGAAAGACTATCCAATGAAAATTACATTATACTGAAAAAATTAAGGATGACATCAGAAAATAGAAAGACATTGCCTGTTCCTAGACAGGAACTCATCATATACGAAATGGCTACATCCCAAAACTGATCCACAGGTTTAATATAAAACCAATTAAAACACCCATGTCATTTCTCACACGGGTAGAGAGAACAACCCTCAATTTACATGGACTCAGGAAAGACTCAGAATAGCTAAAACAATCCTGGGTAACAAAAGCACAACAGATGGTATCACAGTCCCAGACTGGCACTGGCCTAAAAGGTATATGGCGAAACAAACACAACCACACACAACTTGATATCTGAAAAAAGGGTCAAAATAATACACTAAGTGAAAGATAGGCCCTTTAATGCGTAGCATTAGGAAAATAGAACTCCACGTGCAGAAGATTTGAGTCTAGACCTATATATCTCACCATGTACTAAACTAAAACAAAATTGAGTCAGAGATCTCAATGTTAAAATGGAAATACTTCACCTGCTGGAAGATAAAGCAGGTGCAACATTGGAAGACACAGGCACAGGCTAGGGCTTCCCAAACAGATCCTGAGCAATGGCACACATACGCAAATATAATACACAGAATCAACAGCAGGAAAGTATCAAGTTAAAGACTGGCACAGTAAAGGAAACAACTGGTAGCATTAATGAAGATACAGCCCACAGATAGGAAAAAAAAAGTCTCATATATTCCTTAGGCAGGGCACTAAAATGTACAATATGTAAAGAATTTTTTTAAAAATTAGACTTGTCAAAATAAGAGACCCAAACAAAAAAGGGAGCAGCAGAAATGAACAGACACTTCTCAGAAGAAGTATAAATGGACAATAAATACTTAAAAATGTTCAACATCCCCGACTATTAAGGAAATGAAAATTAAAACTACGTGAAATACGATCCTACCCCAGCAAGCATGGCTATCATCAAACAATCTTTGATTAAAAAATGCTTGTTAGGATGTGGGAAAATGGAATTCTTCCAGGTTGTTGCTAGGAATATAAACTAGTACAACCACTATGAAAACCAGTGCTTATAACAGCACAAGTTATAATAACTAGGTCTTGGAAGTGGCTTATATGCCTATCAGCAAATGAATGGAAAATAGATGTGGTTCTTATCTGTGTTGGAATATTACTGTGCTATAAAGAAAGATAAATTTGAACTTGAAGATAAATAGATGCAATGTAGGAACAGAAGTTTAAGCGAAATACGATTAGCACACAAAATTAAATGTCACATGATTTCTCTTATATATAAGAGAGGCATATGAGATTATATATATATATATATATATATATATATATATATATAGAGAGAGAGAGAGAGAGAGAGATGGGAGAGAGCAAGAGGGATGGGGAGAGAGAACAAAATAGAAGATAAGTAAATATCAAGAAGAGAGGGGAAAGTTCAAATAATTCCCCAAATTTCTATTCCCTAATGGAAGAATAATATATATATACATATATATAATACATATTATATATATATATATGTATATATATATAAATGATTCATTTATACTATTTTTTCTTAGTTCATTTAAAAGAAAGTTTTGGTTTTTTGGGTTTTAGTTCTTTTTTTATGTAGTTAGTACAGGGTCTACAGGGTCTCACTGCACAGATCAGACTCATAGTGATTCTCATGTTTTCAGCCTCCCAAGCTCTTGGATTGCAGGTATAAAAGAAAATTTGAGAAGTCTCTTTTGCCTATGTTTTTATTTTTATTCTGAGTAACTACTTTTAAGTTTATGTTGTACAATGTGCTATTATTACCTTTATATTTTAATATAAATTTTCATTTTACTTCTTTCTTTAAAAATAGAATAGTTGTGGGCCAGCTAAATATCTCAGCAGACTAAAACATTTGCAAGCAGGCACAGGGCCAGGGGTTTGATTCCCAGGCCTTCCATGCTGGCCCTGCCCCAGGGTGAGCTGAGACAGCAATTGAGACTGGGCATGGTGGCATGTGCCTGTGATCCCAGCTCTTGAGAGGCTGTAAGCAGGCGGATCACTATGAGTCTGATCTAGTATCTGAACACCCTGTATCCCTTCCCTAAAATACAAAAACTAAAAATAAATGAAAAATAAAAACCTAACAAGTGTAGTGGCACTTGCCTATAATTTTTAGTACTCAAAGAATCTGAAGAAGGAGATCAGAATTTTCAGCCCATCCCAGCAACTTAGCAAGACTGCCTGCTAAGTTTTAAAAATGACTAGTGAGGGGCTAGGGAGATGGCTCAGTAAGATAAGCGCTTGACTGGCATATGCAAGGATCTGAGTTCAATCCCCTGTTCCACCAAAAAAATAAATAAGTAAAAATAAA